GGAATTGGTTCCTCAAGGGAGTGGTTCGTGGGAAGAAGCTGCTTGAATAGAACTTACATCTCACCAGGGAAATATGAAGGGAATGAGTGTGATTCACTACAATTGGCGTGGCATGGCAGGTCTTAGCAATGAAGTTTAGTACTGGTGGAACTAAACAGTGTAGTTGATTTAAACACTCAGCATGGAAATAGCGATAGAACAGCAAGAGGCTTGTGATGTCTCCTCTATGAGAAAGGCTTTGCCGAGTGGAGTATAATTCGTTGCTGGCAAGGACGTGGAAACGCCTTTGGACTCTTTCGAGTAAGGAAAGTGAAGACTGGGAAGCTCCTGATCTGGCTCTTGCGAAGGTAGAGGATTGCAGGAAGGGGGAGGTACATGCAGGAGCGGTGAAAGGAACCGATCATTTTCCCAAAATCTTTAGCGATGGATCATATGTACAAGTTCCACTTGAGGTCACGTGTGAGTTTAAGGCCCAGTAGTCTCATATTGTGATATTACTTAATTATTGAAACAGCGTGTCTTAGGGTAATCTCATGACAAGGGTACGGATTATGTGATGATCCTTAATCGGGGATTTTGGCGCCGGATTAGAAGTCAACTCTTGATCTATATATTCAACGAGGAAGTAGAGTTTAGAGTCACAAACACAAGCAGTTTTATCATATTTCTCACCCCCACAAACACAAACTATATATTGTTTTTTTTATGATTTTTTTACAGTTTGGTTCATTCTGTAAAAGGCCCGGGGTCACTCGAGGTAGAGGCTTAAAAAAGAGGCAATTTATACCGTAAACTTCAACAGGTTAAAACTAGCGAAAAATCCCTTTGCAAGTCGGTTCCACAGAGCAGTGAGTGCGTCTGGGGATACATGGGTCCGTAAAAGCTTCGCGTAGGTCAATCTGGTCTGTGTAATCCCGAAGATTAGGGTGATGTATCTTTTGTGTGCGTATTCAATGAGTAATTAATATCATATTACTTAATTATTGAAAGAGTGTGTCTTAGGGTAATCTCATGACAAGGGTACGGATTATGCGCTGATCCTTAATCGGGGATTTTGGTGCCGGATTAGAAGTCAACTGTTGATCTACATATTCAACGAGGAAGTAGAGTTTAGAGTCACAAACACAAGCAGTTTTATCATATTTCTCACCTCCCTCAAACAAAAACTCTATATTGTTTTTTATGATTTTACAGTTTTTTGATTTTTACAGTAAGAGGCCCGGGCGCCACTCGAGGTAGAGGCTTACGAAAGGAGGCAGTTTATACGTATAAGAAGGGATGATAGCGGTTAACCGTAAACTTGAACGGGTTAAAACTAGGGAAACATCCCTTTGGAAGTCAGTTCCACAGAGCAGTGGTTAGCGTGAAGAGGTTGTTCGATTCGAACTTCTCACCAGTGGAACTCGGAGGGAAGGAAGATATTTCGCTACAATATAAGTAACATGGTGGATCCAAGTCATGAAGGTTAGAAATGCCGGAAACAAGGAATGTAGTTCGTCGGAAACACTTTCCATGGAAATAACAATAGAGCAGTGAAAGGCTTGTCACATCCCGCCTTTGATATAGCGGTTGGGGGATGGGAAATAATTTGTCACCCACAAGGTTTCGGAGACGATTTTGAACTCCATCGAGACTAGAAAGTGAGGGTAGCTCCCGCCCAAATATGACAACATTACTCTATTTTCGGTCTGATCTCTCTCTTGTAAAGATAAAAGATGATAGCATGAGTCAGGCATTTATTGGAACGGTACAAGGGAGCCGACCATATTTCTCACATCCTTCTTCTTCTTCTTCTTGTAACAGCATTCACCTGGGGTGGGTTGAGCCGGCTCTAATATTGAAGTTTCATGGGAATTTGGAATTCACAAGTGGTCCGCAAACCCGCATGTATAGCACATGAGATTTGATTATAGTGGTGAAGGTTTCGTGCAGGACCATCCACACTTTTTGAAGGGCCGAATACAGAGACCTGGTGCACTAAGTGCCACAAGGTCCCCAAACGGCCCTCCGCAGGTTTTGAATTCAGAGTTTTTCCTTCTCCTAGACCAGTTGCCATTCATGGCTATAGAACCCAGTCTGTCCTGCTATTTACCCATAGCTGGGGGGAGAAGAAGAGGATTCACACTTTTCCCAAGGGTATTAGCACGTAAGTGAATGTAATGGATTCGACTGGAATTCGAACTCGGCTCTCTGATTCCTCAATCCAAGCCGCTATCCATTACTACACCGTGCCTCCTCAACCACATCTTTAGCGATGGATCGGATGTACGAATTCCACTTGAGGTCAGGTTTGAGTTTAAGTCTCAGTAGGTGTTCAAGGCACGGGGTCTCTCTGACGGAACATCCGTTCATCACGATTGGTGAAAATTCTGCGTCCAATCGCCAATGGTAGAATGTCATTAGTTTGGTCTTTGAATGTGACCAGCCAGTTTTTTTTCCCAACTGAGACGTTAGAACTAGGCCAGAGGAGAAATCAGCTGTCAAGCTCTGGTCATCTAGAGTTTTGGAGGTGCACTCTTATACCATCATCAGCATAAATATTCACAAATGACCGGAGTATATTCTTCGGCAGAGAACAATGATGTTCACCTTCTAGAAAACATAAGATCCACTCGAGGTAGAGGTTTACAAACTAAGAGGCACAGTTTATGGGAATATAAGAGGGACCCTAGACAAATATGTTAAGATTGTAGGAAGCTGCTGCTCGAGGGGAAGTTACATCTCACCAATGGAATCCGAAAGGAATGAGGGTGGTTAGCTACAATGTGTGTGGCATGGCGGGTTTTAGCCGTGAAGGTTACGACTGGTGGAACTAAGGAATTCATTTGAATACTTTCCATGGAAATAGCAACAGAGTAGCGAAAGCTTACGGCGTTTCTTCTATGAGAAAGAGGTTGCAGGGTGGAAAATAATTCATCACCCACAGGGACACGTAGACCTTTTTGGACTCTATCGAGACTGAAAAGCGAAGACTATGGCAGCAGTACTCCATTTTCGGCCTGATATGACCATTGTAAAGGTTGAGGATAGCAGGACTGAAGTACGTACTGGAACGGTACAGAGAGCCGACCATTTTTCCTGCATCTTTCCTGTTCCACTTGAGGTTTGGGTTGAATTCAAGTCCCAATAAACACTTAAGTCATGAGACCCCCACACACACACACCCGACAGAACACCTGTTCATCACGATAGGTAAAGATACAGGGGGTCCATTCAGTGATAATGGAACGTCACTAGATTGGCTAGTTATGCTGTCGTTCCCCACCCCACCCCACTGATCTGTTAGAGCTCGGTCGAAGGAGAGATCAGCAGCCAAGCTCTGGTCATCTAGAGTTTTGGAGGTGCACCCATATACCGTTGAATCATCAACATAGTTATTAACAAATGATCGGAGTATGTGACACTGTAAGAATGCTAATAATTTAAAGAGATAAAAAGGCTTAAATCTAAATGAATGCAAAAGCAAAGAAGGCCGTAAATAGATGGAAGGACATACTCCCCCCCCCCCAATAAATACTTTTTTTTTTCTCATTTCATGAAGAAAGGAGCTCGCTAGAAGATAACGCTGAAATCTATTTGGACATCTGGTTAAATGAGGGCCAGAGGACGATGTAGGGCGAAACACGGTAACATTTCTGGGCCGAGACCACCAAGCCAGCAAACTTTTTATTTAGTCCACCACAGGGGTAGATTATTCAAATTCCACGTGTCATGCCCCCCTCTTTTTTTTTTTTTTTTTTTTTTTTTAGATATCTCAATATCAGTTAAGAGGTTTGGGAGAAAAACAGAACACCTGTTCATCACGATAGGTAAAAATACAGGGGTTCCGCTCAGTGATAATGGAACGTCACTAGATTGGCAGGGTTATGCTGTCGTTTTTACCCCCACTGAGCTGTTAGAGCTCGGTCAAAGGAGGTCAGGTGGGAAATCTGAAAAGGCATGAATCCACCACTTTTTCCCAGTTTTGGATTAATAAGAAGGCTGGAGCGTACAACGGCGATTTGACGCAGAATTTTTTACCAATCGTGATGAACGGATGTTTCATCAGAGAGAATGAAGATCAAACTTTAGTAACTCATTGAACCTAATATTTACATTTTTTATATCTCTTCATGAAGTAGGTGATCATGGCTCTCCACAGATTTCTTTTCTTTATTATCAACATATTGTCAGGTTATTTTGAGAATGTTAGTGCAGTAGTTGTTGTTTTCTCTGCAAGTTTGCATTTAAATTCTTCCTCTGAGAGTTGCTGCCAACCAAACTCGAGAACTTAATCTACTCTGTTATTGAACTCATGTTTCAGAGAAGAGATGTATTCTTAACTTTCTCAAAACCATTTTTGTGGAAACGTAGGCAACAGACGAGGTGGAAATTAAATTCTGCGAGTCGATTCCGCTTCTACGCATATAATTTAATATGTCATTTTTTTTAATGTCATGTCTCTTCAGAAAGTAGGTGTTCATGACTCTCCACACATTCCTTTTCTTTATTATTTGCCTTGATTTCGGGAATAAAGATGAGGTAGTTTCCTGTTTAGTTCTTTCTGCTGTCAACATATAGGAAGTAGATGATCATGACACACCACAGATTCCTGTGGGGTCATTTCCCGTTGCTTTCTTCATGGAGTGAATTCAACCTCGAGAGCCCAGTCTACCCTGCGGCAAAATGAAGATATTCTTTTCCGGTGTCAAATGGTACAGAAAGAATTTGTCTATTTATATTTGGTTATTTACAATTGGTTAGAATTAGAAAGAAAAGAATGGTATTTGATAATAAGCATTAATAAGAATTTATTGATAAATTTTTACAGCTTACCGACCATTGAAGGTTATTTTAATGTCAGAAAATATTTTTAGATTGTAAAAATATTTGGGAGATAATGATTTACTGATACAAGTCCTACTAATTAATCCAAAACTAGGAAGAAGTGGTGGATTAATACCTTTTCAGATTTCCAATCCTGATCGATTCCGCATTACATCACTCACACATCCAAGTTTATAGCACCTGGTACTCCCAAGTGGTCACCCGTCTAGGTACTAACCAGGCTTGATGCTGCTTAACGTCAATGATCGTATGGAAACTGGTGTTTCAACGAGATATGGTCATAAGCCCGTGTTATTAAGCATTAAAAAGGTTACCAGGGATGAAATTAGAACAGATCCTAGACCCAGATTCAGATCCCTAGAGCAGCATTTCTCCACCAGTGTACCGAGGCACACTAACGCACCTTGAAAGGTAGCCAGGTTCGCCCCAAGTTAAGAGTAATTTATTAATTATTTTTATATTTAAAAAATCTTTATTTCTAAAACAGCTAGAGACACCAAACATATGATTTTCATGTCTAAGTCTTTGTCATTTGTTATTTTAAATTGGATGCTAAATTCCTTAATTTTTAAGTAGGAGTGGATAATCCTTTCCCTTTTGCTTTCCTCAAGGGATTTAAATCAGTCATTATCGGCCTCTGTTAGTTCCAATGCTGTTAGAAATTAATATTTATTGTATTTTTATAATATAAATGTGGCACAAGGCCAAAAAGGGGAATGGGGAAAGCTGGTCTTCAGTTGTCTAACTTGGTCTTAACTAGTCATATTCACTGACCTACACATACTTAAAATAAATCTTTTACCACAATACCACATTTATACAGAAAACACATCCATACCACACCAAAACAATGCATGTTCTCCTTGAGATCCTAAGTTAATTTCTCATATTTACAAACATGTAGAGAGGGATAAAAAGTATGCATTATTTTTATTTACATAATATTAAAATTTAAACACCTCCACGTAATGAAAAATATACAATGAAAATGATAGTATGGGGCCCTCGCTATGGCTAAATGTGGCAGAAAAGCAAGTAAACTGGTCGAAAAGTATGGTTCGAACATATAGAAAAAAAACTAAAGTAAAAGTTTCTTTCATGGTTTTGCCTCTTTCGGAGATGCTAGTTCCGTTAGAGATGCTTTTTGTTTCAAATTTTTACCTGGTGGACTCCAAAATAATTCAATATCAATTTTTTTCTCTCAGTTTTTTTTTTTTTTAATTTTAAGTGTCTTATTCGGCTCGAGAACATTTCAGAATTCCATCGTACATTCCATCCTTTGCAATGGCATCGTTTTATAAAGCACTCATTAGATTCGAAACTTTTGTAGTATGTCGCTCACCACAGATCATATCAGAATAGACTTTGCCTTAAGTGTGCTTCAACGTATTCCCTAAAAATAGAAACAAATAACTTCACCATTTAAACACTAGAGTTTATATTAATAATAAAGCACAGGCATAAGTGTACATGTGCCTGTGTACACATGCATATATATATATATATATATATATATATATATATATATATATATATATATATATATTTTTTTTTTAAAAATATGATTCCTTCGCTACATAAGAGTTCTCATGTTTCAAAAACGAGAATCGAAAGCCTTATAATTATTAAAATTAAATTGAATTAAAGTATCAAGCCCTGTTTCATCCTCAAGCGAAAATTTAGGAATAAACAATTATGGAGCACTGTTTTTTTGAAAATAAAAACAAAAAGCACTAAAGAACTCAGGATTATTTACCTAACGTGTTCTTTCCTATTTTTCTTTTACCTACCACACACACACACACACACACACACACACACACACACACACACACACACACACACTATATATATATATATATATATATATGTGTGTGTGTGTGTGTGTAAAAAACAAACACTAATATTCCATGGTCATAATTTATTCCTATATCTATCCGTCTAACTATATATACAACTATATATCCATATACAAATATATATGAGTACATACATACCAAAACATACACACACACATATATACACATACGTCCATCTACAATATATATATATATATATATATATATAAGCCATAGAATTGTTTTTTTTTTTGTTGTTGTATCGTAACGGTCCGGGTTCGATTCTCAGTAGTGCATGCGCACTGCTGATGAGTCCCAAATAGGACGAAACAGCCATCCAGTACTTTCTGCATTCTTTTGATAATTCTTCTCGACACGATTATTCAAATCCCACCCCAAATTTCCATCGCTTTTGTGTGAACATAAACTAAATAAGGAGATATTAGCAACTAATAACTAATAATGTGATAACCTACATAGAGAGATGAGCAAACAAATATTTATTTGAATCAAATAATTTGATTTAAGGGGTAAACTAAACAAAACAGTGATCAATGTAATTAAAACAGAGCTATAAAGTATATATTAATTATAATTACTCATATGTTTTGTTTAGACCTTAAATTAAATAAATATTTCCGCATCTGTGTAAGTACCTTATAACACGCATATATAGTTACTGATAGTGCACGTGGCATTTCATGTTTACCCAGTTCATCAGGAGCAAATGGTAGGCAAATGAACTATTTAATACGTTTTTGTTTTTTGTTTTTTTACTGGCTAAAGAAAGAGGCAAAAGAGAAACAGCATATTTATAGGCGATAATCAAAATCATACCATGTGATCAAAGAAAAAGAAGAAAAAACACAAGAAAAACAACACCGGGAGTGGGGGGTAAGATTTATTCAACCGACTAAAAGGGGAGGGGATAACTAAAGTACGAACAATAAAGATGGAATGACAATACAAACGGGGAGATAGACCTAATTCAAAAACCAAGATTTTCTTGGTTATTGAATTAGGTCGCACGGGAGTAACGCTATATTATGTGCAGATTCAAAATTCAAGGTTACTAATTTAATATGATATTGGGGTAAAAAAAATAGAGACATGGTTGGTAGATATCTGAAAAAGAAATGGTAATACTAATTTCCGTTTGGTGTTACTGTTATGGTTGTTAAATACGGTAGTTTTACAAGTAAATCTCTTTATCTCAAGGAAGTAACACTGTACTGAATATAGAGCTAACATTTAATATTGTTATAAAAAAGATAAAAATAAAAACTTTTGTTAAACGAAAAAGATTATAAAGTAAGAAAAAGTAAAAAGTAAACGACGTATTTTTTACGCTAGAAATAGACGTTTGGATGATGCAGGGATGATAATTATGGTGTAACAATACTGAGTTAACGAACTTAGGTATATTGGTATTAATATATATATGAATATTTCTCATTTAAGCATTAATATAATTAATATCATATATATATTGATTTAAAAAGAATTTTAGACAATCTTTATACGAGTAAATACAAACTAATATACAGTAGAGTTAAAAGACATCAACTCTAGTTTGCATTTACTCGAATGAAGTAACAATGTCTTAAATTCTTTTTTAAATCAATGTATTTATTATTATGTCAGTTCATTATATATATATATATATATATATATATATATATATATATATATAATATGATAGTAATTATATGTATGTATGTATATATATATATATGTATGTATATATGCATATATATATGTATATATATGTATATATGTATATATATGTATATATTGTATATATATATATATATATATATATATTTTATATATATATATATATATATGTATATATGTATATGTATATATATGCATATATATGTATATCTATGTATGCATATATGTATATATATATATGTATATACGTACATGTATATATATATGTATCTACATGTATATATATATATACATATTTATAAAAACATATATATATATATATATATAATATATGAATATAATATATATATATATATATGTATATATACATATATATAGATCTATCTACGTATATACATGTGTATATATATATGTATATATATACATATATATATATATATATATATATATATATATATATATATATATATATATATATATATATATATATATATATATATATATATATATATACATATATATATATATATATATATATACATATATATATATTTATTAAAGACATTTTTTTATGTTTAACGTTGTTTTTTACAGATACAAGTATTTAAGTAAATGCTCTGTTTATGATAAACAGTATTAAATAACATTTACCGGCCTGAATGTCGAGAAAATTTTCATAGAAAATATTCGTCCTTTATTACAACGTTAAACATAAAAATGAATAAATAAATTTCGACTCCATTTCTTAATTATGACAACATATATATATATATATATATATATATATATATATATATATACATACATATATGTATATATATATATATACATACATATATATATATATATATATATATATATATATATATATATATATATACATACTATATATATATATATATATACATACATATATATATATATATATATACATACATATATATATATATATATATATATACATACATATACATATATATATATACATATATATATATATATATATATATATATATATATACATATATATATATATATATATATATATATACATATATATACATACATATATATATATACATATATGTATATATATATACATATATATATATATATATATACATACATATATATATATATATATACATACATATATATATATATATACATATATATATATATATATATATATATATATATATATATATATATATATATATACATATATATATATATATTTTATAGATATGCATATGTATGTATATATATACAATGCTGTTCGATAAAAGTGACTCACCTGTTTTTTTTTTACTTAAAAAGTTTTTCACCTATTGTTTTTTGAGGTCAAGCTAATTTTTCCTAGGGTTTTTCCCTAAATAACTTTTATATCCAAAATTATAATTATCAATAGAATACTTTAGGGTGAATAAACTTTTTTCCTAGAGGGTCAGGAAGGGGTCTTTATATTAGTATGATTAAAAATTATTTTAACCCCAAAAACAATAGTCAAAAATATTTTTAGTAAAAAAATCAGGTTATTCACTTTTATCGAACAGCACTGTATATATGCACATATATATATATATATATATATATATATATATATATATATGTATGTATGTATGTATCTTGCGTGCTCCTGTGTGACGTCACGACCTGCGGTGCAATTTTCGCTTTATATGGACCGCAGATTCTTTGTATTTTCTCTAATAACCCCTTCACATAAGCCAGGCAGACTGTTTTCTGAGTGTTGTTGTCCTCCTCCTCTT